TATCTTAATGGTCTGATGTGCTGCTTTTTTTGTTGGTTGGGCGTTAAATCATCTAAATAATTTTCCTACACTTAAGCCATCAGGTCTCAATGCTTCAAATCACGAATAAGAGTAATATGAATCAAAACATTTTAGGTTCAATTTTGAAAAAATAGATGCTTTTCAAGTAAAACCCGATCTTTATAAAATTATTGTAACTCTTTTTTTCTTATTTTCTTTTGATTTACATATTATATAAAACTATTATATATTATGAATCTTATGATTATTTCTTAAATTAATGTGTTAGTTTTTAAAAATTTTTAACTTTTGTATCTTTTTCATCTGTGGTCTCCAACAAAAGTTAACTAGCTCCACTCCTATTTGAGACCAAGCATTGATTAAATTAAACATGTTTTGTCAAGAAAATAATATTTTAATAATAATTTTATTATTTTTGATTTGTTTGTACAGAGATGTTTACTAACTCCACAGATTTTGCTAAGATAAATGCATTATCTATGACAGAGCCAGAAATAATAATAACGTGTGCATAACTACATGGGAGGCATCATCCATAAGTGCTTCATATGATATGATAGCATCACAAATCCAACAAACTACATGGTATATTGGCATGTTATGAAATTAAGAAAAGCATGTTTCTTTTGAAAAGCACCCCAATGCTTTATTCCCTCCAGGTTTAATGAATGTTTATACTTTGCTCTTCCAAAAAAAAAAATGCTTTTCTTTTTCCCACATCTGTTTCCTCTGTAATCATAGACAGTTCAGTTTCTTTATTGGCCTCTGCACCGTTACTTATTGTTCTTCTTGTCAAAGTAAATCGGGAATCATGATCCTAAATCTTTCATAGGCCATTCAATTTTTTATGCTGTCCCAGCAGTCAGTCACTCAAATTGCCCCAGGTTTTCAAAAGTAATTTGATGTTGTCAAGATACTCACAAGGCAATCACGATCGGTTTGTGTTTTTTAAACGATTCAGAGTAAAAGTTGTCCACCAAGTTTGCGTTGTAGTCAAACAATACCTTGGTGACTGGTGATACTTCCAAAAGCCCGGTGCTAGATGCTCCTTACTGTCGTCTGATGTTTCTTCTGTTGCGAGATGCGCCCAAGCCCTTTGGACCTTTTGGCAAATGGTATAGAAAACTGATGCCATGACATTCAGATTACAGTATAAAATCATTTGCATGCCTACCTAATGATAGCAGCAAAATCAGACGAAATGATTCACAGAGGCTTGAGAAACTGTATTACGCATTGGGCAGTGTGTGAATTTGCTGCCCCATAATCAAATTTTGTCAAATGAAATTCTCATTCCGTAGAATGGGAACCATCTTTTGCTAGATTACTACGTTAGGGGTGGCCAGAAAAAGACTACCACGTTAAGCTGTTCAAAAGCAGGCCCATTGTCCGCCGAATCCTTGTGATTCTTGTCTGTCAAGTTGCCCACCTCCAAACTAGTCAATAGTCCGTACATGATTAGGAGCATCAGCTTCCTTTTTCTTTTATCAAAGAAGATAGAAAACTCCATCGTCCAAATACGTGCACATATTCGAAATGGGACATGTTAATTTCAGTCGATCGATCAGTTGACATCTCTCTCACACATTATTAGAGATGATTTTGGTGAATAAAGGATGCAGACAAGTGTTTGAGAGAAACACTGATGAACAGAAGGAGCCAAGGTTCTCGAATGTGACGAAAGGAAGCAAACAAGGGACCCAAAGTGCACCGTTTTGAAAAGGCTCAATATAAGCTTAGAATAGTTTGCAAAACTTACCGTTTCACTTGAGCTTTTAAAAGTTAGTTACCTGATGATTATTAGTTGGGGTATTTTAAGAATAATCTTGAAAAATAAAATATTTTTAAAAATAACACTCTTTATAATTTTAATTATTTTTAATCAAATTAGATAAAATTACCTTGAATGAATTCTTTTCATATTTAAATGTATATGATGTTATATGTCATGCATATGATATTACACGTTATGTTGAAAAAATGTTATTGTTATATACCATGTATAAAAATATGTTACACGCTTTGGTTAAAAATGGTTATTATATGTCATATTGAACAAAAAATATTATTGTTACACACTATGTACAAAAACATGTTACACACCATAATTAAAAAAAATTATTATACGTCATGTTAAAAAATATATATATTGTTGTTACACACCATGTACAAAAACATGTTACATGTCATAGTTAAAAAAGGTTGTTACATGTCATATACAAAAACTGTTATATGCCATGTTGAAAAAAAATGTTGTTGTTACACTCCATATTAAAAAAATATTATTGTTACATGTTATGTTGAAAAAAATTTTGTTACACTTTAATGCATAAAATATTATTGTTACTTACGAACTAAAATTTTAAATCCCCTAAACTCTCTTTATTTCTTTTTGTTTTTTCTTTTTGGATAATTTGGCACCGATTAAATTATTTCTAACATATTTTTATAAATCAAAATACAAATTTTCTTGTCTAAAACACCTATTTTGACTAAAAATTGAAAAAAATTTCTTTTGACACTCTAAGTTTATAAATTTTAAATTTTTAAGTTTATTGGTATCTAGGTCCCGAATTGATCCAATTAAAAGCTATTTCAAATATCTATGATCATTTCTACCATTTTAGTTTCATTCAAAATACCTAAAATCAAATATCCCAAATAGATACTCACCCAAAGCACATCAAAACTATCATTTGGCGTCTTGAAAATACGAGAAAGAGAAATCAAGAGCACGGCTAACAAATGCTAAAGAAAGAAATTGATAAAATTAGAGAGAGCTGGATGGTGATAGAGAGAAATCAGAAGTATAGATGGGAAAAAATTGTGATATATAATTTAATTTATTTGAAATAGTTTCAAGAGTATTTTTATCAAGTCACAGTTAAATATGACCAAAAACAGTTAAATTTATTTTGATAGTTATTTTTTAAATACCCTTATCAAGAGGGTTATTCCTCATGATTTTCTCTTATTAGTTAGTTAAGAATTAACTTTACTCTTTCTCGTTAATCAATATTTGTACAAATATATATACCTTGATGTAAGACCTTTGTCTTTTAAAAATGAGAAAATGCGTAGACAATACCTAAAAACTAGTAAGATAATGTTTAAAAACTAATAATATAATACCTAATAACTAATTGATTTGCTTGTTCCTAGTTAGGTTTAAGTTACTAAAATCATACAGTGTTCTAAATTACAGATATATCTAATCAATTTCAATACCTTAACTTGAGAGTTTTATGAATATAAACTAATAAACTTAAGAACTTAAAACACATATCTTAATGTCATCTCTATTCTTTGGGATAGCAAGAAAGAGTCAAATGGTGAGGTAAACAGTATTTGGCAAGAGAGAGAAATCAAGATTTAATTTTAAAAATCAAAACCATTTTAATTGTCTGAAATTATTTAAAAAGCATTATTGTTAAGTCATGCCAAAAATTAACTAAAAATAATTAAAATTATAATAAATGATATTTTTGAATTTAGTTTATGAGGAAGGTTATCTCTCATAATTTTCTCTAACAATATCCTAATTTTCTATAATTTTAAAAATGATTAACTAATGTACTTGATTAAACACTTGTCAAAAAAATGATCGAATAAAATTTTAAAAATTCTGTATGAATTGGGTTCTTTTTTATGTCTGTCTTCTTCGACTGCAGGCTTCAGTTTGAAGAAATGTTCAACTTCAATATATTAAAATTTTGACTGGATTGTAATGTGAAAACCATAAAGACTATTGTGCATTGAGAAGGGGTTTTTCTTTTTAAGCTAGGCGTCAATTGTCTTCCTTGCTATTTCATCTGGAAGTTCAAGTGGGAGCTGGTCAAGAAGGATGTTCTTTTAAATTTTTTTTCTTTTGTTACTTTCTCCTTCTCGTTAGTAGTTTAAGATGAAATCACTTCTCATATTTTAATGAACAATAACATGAGTCATATTATCTACAATTGTTACCTAATGAATCCTTAATATTACAAAAGAAGTTTTGTAATAAAGTTTATTGTACCAAGTTACTATAACACAAAGACGCACGATGATAGAGTCTTTTCTTAATTAGATCGTATGGTCAAAAAGACGTTTGAGGGTCAGAAGTCCAATAAAATATCTTAGGTTATACTTAATGTTATGAACTACTAGTCTATGGTGTCCCTTGGTGCCAGCACTGATCCTTGTATTTAAAGTACAACTCACCCTTTGTTCAAGACTCAATGATTTTTTGAGGTGACGAGGCCAACTAAATATCACACATCAAAATTAAATAGGATGTTGCAACCTGCCCATGACAG